AAGAGTTCTTCAATGTATTTGTTTCATCTCTGGAGTATTTTTCTTTCTCTAATATCAACATTCAGTACTTGGATTTGATGCACCCTGTTGATGAGCCTGTCTTTTGTCCTGTCAATTCTCTTATTTTTTTTATGAATATCTGATTTATTTGTGACATTTTTATTGTAGTCATTTAATAATTTAGTTTATTCGGAGCTTCCATTTGTTGAAACTATACTCTGAAAAAAATACTGTTGCAATGTCTCTCTCTAATAACCTCTCTTTTTCATTCTTAATTTCACTCTCTTTCTTTCTTTGTTCGCTCTCTATCTCTCTATTTTTCTTTCTTGTAATTTCTTCTCTCTTTTTCTCCCTATTTCTAATTTATCTCTTTTCCTTTACTTCATTTTCTATTTTTCTCTCATTCTCTCTCTATTTTTATCCCTCTTTCTCTCTCCTTTTCTGTTTGCTCTCTGTCTCTTTCTATCATTTTTATCTCCTCTTTCTATTTTCTCTCATACTTTCTCTTTCATTTTCTCTTTCTCTCTCTATTTTTCTCTCTCTCTCTCTCCTTTTCTGTTTGCTCTCTGTCTCTTTCTATCATTTTTATCTCCTCTTTCTATTTTCTCTCATATTTTTCTTTCATTTTTCTCTTTTCTCTCTATTTTTATCCCTCTTTCTCTCTCCTTTTCTGTTTGCTCTCTGTCTCTTTCTATCATTTTTATCTCCTCTTTCTATTTTCTCTCATATTTTCTCTTTCATTTTCTCTCTTTCTCTCTCTATTTTTATCTCTCTTTCTCTCTCCTTTTCTGTTTGCTCTCTGTCTCTTTCTATCATTTTTATCTCCTCTTTCTATTTTCTCTCATATTTTCTCTTTCATTTTCTCTCTTTCTCGCTCTATTTTTATCCCTCTTTCTCTCTCCTTTTCTGTTTGCTCTCTGTCTCTTTCTATCATTTTTATCTCCTCTTTCTATTTTCTCTCATATTTTCTCTTTCATTTTCTCTCTTTCTACCTTCTTTTTGCTCTTTCTTTCTATTTTCTTTCCGGCCCTTTTCTCTATTTCATTTTCAGTTTTTCCCTTTTTTCTCTCTTTTTTCTATTTTTATCTCTGTCCTTACATTTTTCTTTGCATTTCTTTTTTCTTTTTTTTTAATCTCTCAATCTCTTTTGCTTTTTTTATATTTTCTCTCTGTTTCTTTCTATCTTTATGTTATGGTCCGGTTCCTTGTACCACGTTGATAGTCCAAGGTAGAACCAATAAAGAAGAATTCAAAGGCGGATATGGAATAACGCAGATATATTACAAACAGGAATATATACAGAGAAGTAGAAAGTGTTAGTACAAACAATCAGGTTTAGTAGTAATTGTATGAATGCGACTCTGTTTTGGACTGCCTTTGACTCGACTGACTGACTTGCTCTCATTGACTGACAGACTTCACTCCAGACTTCAGACTGAACTCCAGACTTCAGATGGAACTCTCTGCTTCCTCTTGAGGTGCAGTATTTATTACATATGGAATAGTCCATTATGTTATTATGGGTAATGTCCCCTAACACTTTAACTTTCTCTTTTTCTGTCTTTCTCTCTCCTTCTCTTTTTATTTCACTCTCTCTCTGTCTTTCTCCTTTCCTCTATGCTCTCCATCTCTCACCTTTTTTTTTCTCACTCTCTTTCTCCTTTGTTCTATTTTTCTCTATACCTTTCTCTTTCTATTTTTCTTCCTCTCTAGTTTTCTCTTTTCCTGTCATGAATTAATAAAAGCTCACCATTTTCTTTCCAATGAAGAATATTTCCTCAGCAGAAAAGCAAAATTCTTTTATGCCATAGTTTACCCATTGAATAAAAAGTATTTTGAAAAATTTTGTCAAAGTATCTCTACATTTATTCTATTGTCTAAAACGAGATTCACATATTTTTTATTCTTGATATTTCCATTTTCTCGGAATTTAATCTTGGAATCTGGACTTTTGGATAATCAAAAATTTACAGATTTTATAATAATTTTGAATTCTATTTCATGAAAAGAAAAAGAATCCAGTCTTTGAAAAAATAATATGGTAAAACATGAGCTTTATAGAAACAATGATATGAATAATTTCATACAATTCTTGTTCAATATTTACTCCAAAATGAAAGATTCTTCAAATTACGGACTAAAAGTATCTGAATAGAGAAAAAACATTTTTTATTCCATCATACAGGAATTTTTTATTCTATTCTAGGGCAATTTTTTATTCTATTATAGCAATAAAAAAACAGATATATTTTTTATCATGATTGAATAAAAAAATGACATTTAAGCAGAAACAATGACATTATCAAACACTTGTTTCGTCATCAATAATTTATCCACCTCAATATCTTTTCACATTTTTTATTCATGTCAGCCATTCCAATATGAAAATCACTGATAGTTATTTTGGGATAAAAATATTGAATTCTTCTGATATATAACATGTCACTTTGGTTAAATCACATGAAATTCATCATATATCACAATTTATTAAGCTTACTATTCTAACACAAAGCTCATGAAGAACCCCAGCCCCATGATAAATGTAATGGTCTGCAAGACTAACAATTTTCATATATGTAAGTTTTGTCATTAATAAAGATTATTTGCTTGTTGTTTATCAATACATCTACAAAATAATGTATATTATCAGTTTTTTACACTGTTTGTTTCTTAAAATTCAAATTTTTACTCCAGTAAAGCCACTAATATGCAAGGGATTACTGAATGTGAAATAATATGAGAAAAACAAACATTATTAAGGAAAGAGAACATTAAAAGAACAGGAATTAAGACGACAGAAGATAACAATTGATATTTCAGTTAAATTATTGAAGATCAAAGTTGATTGGGAAGCAAGAAGTCAGAAGAGAGTCCCACAGGTGAGAAGTGTGAAAGAAACTGTTAGCATAGAACTTGCAGTTACATCTAGCCATACCAACTATAAAAGGACACCTTGCTGCCAATCTAGTACTGTGCTTAAATTCATAAAGTCTAGGTACCATAATGGAAACTTCACCAGAACAATTACCATAAAAGTATTTATAGAAAAGGCACAGGGAAGCTGCATTATGGCAGCGGGAAATTCACTGAAGGCAAGATGCCAGGTCAGGACCAACAACATTGCAGATTCTTTGGATTTTATTAAGAATCTCTAAATGTATTGCAGGAGCACCAGACCATATTTGGAAACAATATTCTAAGCCTGGACAGATGGTAGATTTATAAATACGTAAGATAGATATGGCTTCCTCAGATGGATAATGAAAAATATGTAAATCCTTTAATACTTGTATTATAAATACTGATTTTTTGCAGCTCTAAATTTCATTGCATTGCAAACAACATAAAGAATTCTGGTCCAGTTCATTTAAAATTAATATATCTGCTGAGAATATTAGTCATGGATTTTTTTTTTTGCCTAATCATTTCACCACAAACAAGGCAACAAAGCCACTAAGACACAGAGGGTTACTGAGTGTAAAAGAATATAAATAAAAGAACATTATTAAGGAGAGAGAACAATGAAAGAACAGGAATTAAGAAGACAAGATAACGGATGATATTTCATTTAAATTTTTGAAGATTAAAGTTGACTAGGAAGCAAGAAATCAGAAAAGAGTTTCACAAATGAGAAGTGTGAAAGAAGAAATTGTTCGCATAGAACTTACTGTTACATTTAGCCATTTCAAATTTAACTTGATGAGTCCTTGCCATTGATCTTATTTCACTTTTAAATTCATCAAGTCTAGGTCCCAAAGAGGAAAGTTCATCAGAACAAATAACATGAAAATATTTATAGAAATGTGAGAGGGAAGCTAACATTATGGTGGTGGGAAAGTGACTGAAGCTGAGATGCCGAGTCAGGGCCAATAACATTGCAGATTGTTCCTTGGATTTTATCAAGAATTTCTAAATATATAGTAGAATCCCCAGACCAAATTTGGCATCAATATTCAAAGCAAGGATGAATGATGTACTTATAAATATGTACATTAGATTCTGGCAAGAAAAATTGTCTCGCATGAAACAGTGAACCAACTTTCCTACCTGTAGACTTAGCAATTGATTCAATATACACTTTTCAATTCATGTCAATGGAAAACATTTGTCCAACATGGCACAATGATGCCAGGTCATGACCAATAATATTGAAGATTCTTTGAATTTTATCAAGAATCTTTAAATACATAGCAGATCAGATGAGAGCATATGAAAGAAGAAAAACTACAATCAACTGCATTTTATTGGGGTTGTGGATGGTTGATGAGGGTGAAAATTTGGTCACATCAAAGTATTCAACTCATCCTAAGTAGATATATGACCCCCACTATATTGTTAATAGCATTACTAAATATATTTTAATGAGTTATGTTCATTACTTCTACTAATCCAGACTTTCACAAATAAGATCCCACATGTTGCATCTCCATTCCATTTGTATTCTATTAGTAGTTATTAGAAAATCTTCTCCCTGAGAACTTCTGCTTTGTGGAACAGACTCCTGAAAGGATGTTTCCCTAATCAGTGTAAGTTTAACCTTTTCAACTCTAGGGCAACTATTATATTTCCTGCATGTCTTCATAATCTGTTCTTATTACCACCTCTTCTTATGTTAATGCAACAATCTCATTCAGCAACCCTCTACTTGGAGTGGCACTTGAGCCTTATATTGGGGGAAAAATAAGTAGAATATCCTATTATGATCAGCACTATTCAGCTGCACCATTTGTTTCCAGTATCATAAAGGCAGATATAAGTATTGAGACTTGAGCAATTCTGAGGCATTATTTTAAACTCTCACTCAAAAGTGACAAAGATGTTCACAGAATTTGGTAAGTGGAAGGAAATGAAACAATATCCATCCACATTTCCAAGAACTGGTTTAAGTGTCTTAAGTAGTGTCTTAAGTAGTAACTCTGAAATATAAATGATAAATTATGATTCTTTAAAATGTAAGGTGGAGGACAACCAGCACTTAGAAGCATTCAGAATGGATAGGATCATTGAAAGACAGAAAAGAGAGAAAAAAGCATTAAAAGATGGAATACAGAGAGAAAAAAACATTGAAAGATGGCATAGACAGAGAAAAGGATTGAAAGATGGAATAGGGAGAGAAAAGGATTGAAGGATTGAATAGAGAGAGAAAATAATTCAAAGATGGAATAGGGAGAGAAAAGGATTGAAAAATAGAATATATAGAGAAAATAATTTAAAGATGGAATAGAGAGAGAAAAGGATTGGAAGATGGAATAGGGAGAGAGAAGAATTGAAAGATGGAAAAGACAGAGAAAAACATTGAAAGATGGAATAGAGAGAATGAAGGATTGAAGGATTGAATAGAGAGAGAAAAGGATTGAAGGATTGAATAGAGAGAGAAAAGGATTGAAAGATGGAATAGAGAGAAAAAGATTGGAAGATGGAATAGGGAGAGAGAAGCATTGAAAGATGGAATAGAGAGAGAAAAGGATTGAAAGATGGAATAGAGAGAAAGAAGGATTGAAGGATTGAATAGAGAGAGAAAAGGATTGAATGATGGAATAGAGAGAGAAAAGGATTGAAAGATGGAATAGAGAGAGAAAAGTATTGAAGGATTGAATAGAGAGAGAAAAGGATTGAAAGATGGAATAGAGAGAAAATGATTGGAAGATGGAATAGGGAGAGAGAAGCATTGAAAGATGGAATAGAGAGAGAAAAGGATTGAATGATTGAATATAAAATGAAAAGGATTGAAAGATGGAATAGAGAGAGAAAAGGATTGAATGATTGAATATAAAATGAAAAGGATTGAAAGATGGAATAGAGAGAAAAGGATTGAAAGATGGAATAAAGAGAGAAAAGGAATAAAAGATGGAATAGCAAGAGAAAAGCATTGAAAGATTGAACACAGAGAGAAAAGCATTGAAAGATGAAATAGATAGGTCATTATATAAGCTTTAATCACAATGCTTGTGATTTTAGAATAAAGAATAAAACATTGAATAGAAATTAAAGATACTTTTGTTACATTCCAGTACATTTTGTATCTGTTTCCTGTCATTGTGAAATGAGTTTTAAACAATTCTTTTATTTTAACTTTAGACCAAAATGTTTTTCCACAAGAGATCAGATTTTAATTATAACATCCAGAATTCACAAAAAATTCCATCCCATAGGAGGATTACCATTCCTCCATTGGAAAAAACTCAAACTTGAAAGATCATTTCCAGATTAGTAATCTATCATTCTTAGATCAATCAATTTCTGTCTGAATTTCTTCAATAAGTAGTTATTATTTACGTGTGAACTATTGTCCTCATCTTTGTTGTTTTCTTTTTATGAATTTCACCCCAAGCAAGGGAATAATGCTACTAAGATACAATGGTTACTGAGAGTTGAAAGAAACTGAGAAAGTGTCATTGAGGAGCAAGAACAATAATGTTTCAGACATTGTTCCCTTTCTTCTTTAAGTATCTGTCAGTCAGGGAATTTCAAACTGAATCCCTTATTTAATCTGCAGGAGAAAATTGCTCTTGTTCCACTGTCTATGCCTAGGGATATCTTGTTTTGTTCCTTTTAGGACTGCTCAGTTATTGCTTGCCCTCTTTTCACTGAGTGTATGTATGTACTAATATAATGAAGAAAATCGCTATTAATCAAATCAATAGAATTTTTATTTAATCAAACCTTACCTAGAAGTTGAAATACTGAATAGTTTCATGCCTGTTGATGTATGAGCATAGAAATGCCAAGAATGGCAATGTGCATGCATTTTACATTATATTTGATATTATATTTATGTTCATGAAATCGAATAAGGTGGGAGGATGCATCAGGAACTTGCGATATCATTCTCATTAATTATGCTTTTAAATAAAATTCAGTTTTCTGTGAAATGGAAGTAGAAAATGTTAATTCTAAAATAGATTGAACATGAATTATAGCCATAAAACCCTCATTTTGAATCTGAACATCTCTATTAATATTTTGGAATTAAAACTTTTTACTTATTTTATGAATTTAAGAATGAGGTTTTCGATTCAATACAAAATAAAGATTCTTTTCTTAAGGCATAACTGTCATTAAGTCAATATTATAATTTTAGTAATAAGCAAAAAAGTTTTTTCGGGCAAGATAAATTAGTTTTACATATTCAAATAATTCCACTGTAAAAAAAAGAACCTATGTTAGAAAATATATAAAGTAAAAAGTTATTTAATATGTAATATCAGAGGTAGGATTTATTAAACACATATTCATGTGAAAATTTTCGAACAAGCTATGAAACCAATGTCTTTTTCAACATAACCACATGGATATTTGATCTTCATTTTAAAATTATTTAGAGATGGAGATAATATAAGTAAATAAATGAAATTGAAAAAGATGTTTCTAAATTATTTGAACAATTTAATTAACAGAATTTTTTCTTAGAAAAATGTTATTACATCCCTGCAAAATCTGTTACTTCAAATTCCATGAATGAGAATTACAAGCAGTAAATCAAATGCAAATAATGAGAACATTGTTAGAGAGGATATTGGAGGAGCTTGACTTATTTAAAGTTCATAAATTTGCTATATTTTGGCTGCATAAGACATATTTATTTATTTATTTATTATTTATTTATTTACTCAATTATTATTTATTTACTCATTTTTTTTTTAAAAATCTGCTAGTGTTCTATATGTGCAGTAATCATAGGAAGATATAATTAAATGAATATATTGATTATGACAATTAAGAACTGTGGTATCAGAAATTCTATGGATGGAAGCAAGGATGATATTTTCCTTGATAAGAATAGTGAGGATAATATTCTTGATCTGAAGATTGCATTTAATGATGTAATGACAAATTACTTTGCAAGATATAGTGAAAGCAATATGGCTCAGTTTCCCTTTCATCATAATAAACTGTGAAAGCAATGAGGATGACAATATTGGATCCAATGTTGAAATGATTGATTCCTTTCCAAGCAAGAGGTAATGCAATGAGGATGACATTTCTTTTCATCCAAATACTGGATCCAATGATGAAAAGCCTGATTCCTTACCAAGCAATAATGAAAGCAAATGATGTTCTCATTGGATGATGTTCTCAATTGAGGATGATGTTCTCATTGATCTGAATACTGGATCCAATGATGAAAAGCCTGATTCCTTACCAAGCAACAATGAAAGCAATGAGGATGATGTTCTCATTGATCTGAATACTGGATCCAATGATGAAAAGCCTGATTCCTTACCAAGCAACAATGAAAGCAATGAGGATGATGTTCTCATTGATCTGAATACTGGATCCAATGATGAAAAGCCTGATTCCTTTCCAATCAATCAGGAAAGGAATGTTGAAGACACTCTCTTTGTTCGGGACAGTGGATCTAATTATGAAAAGTCTGATTCCTTTCCAAGCAAGAGTAAAGAAAATGAGGATCACATTCTATTTCATCTGAATCCTGGATCCAATGATGAATTAACTGATTGCTTAGATATCTCTTCATAAAAATCATTTTGTTATCTTCCTTTGAGAACCATTTTTTAGTAAGTTTATACATTTTAAAACATTTCTTGGAAACAGGTGAAATTTGAAATTGCTTTATTCTCCAGGTTAGAGTATTTTAACTGCATAATGCTAATAAAAATTGTGCTGTATTTTCTACTCTTATTAATTATGATGCAGATACAGTATAAACTTGAGGTAACTTGATAGGATTTTCTTTACTGAAAACTTTGGAATAAGACAAATTGACTCAAGGGTATAAAATAAATAATATATTTTTATTTATTTGCTTTAGAGTGATTAGTGATTCCTTCGGTATTCTGTGTAGCAAAATGTTCATTAATAAGGCTGATATTGGTAGCAGTTTGAAATGTCCATTTCAGTATGGTAGTAATAGTTTTGAAATCAAACCATGCTAAGAGTAGTAGTAATGTTAGAAATAGATCAGTGTCAATCTACTGTTTTTTCTCAGTCCTAAACAGGGCAGAAATATGATTAGAAGATGACCTCTTAACTATTCCTTCATGCATGCTGGTTTCTCCAGCAGTTGCATCTTTTGTCATCACTTTTTTGCATGCATTTGTGAGCTTATATCCTCTTGACTAGACTCCAAGACCCTGGCATGAACCTCGGTTTTTGATAACATCAAAGATCTCTTTGTGTTCATTTTTTTGATTGGCCAAAATTATTTTATTTTATAGTGTTCCTTTCTTTTTGCATTTTTCATAATAGAAGTTATGCATGAAGCCTGCCTGATTTTTAGTAGTTTTCAGTCACAAATTAGTAAACTCTGGTCCCGCAAACTTTCGGTGTTTTTCAGCTGGGTTCAGTCTTTTCTTTTTCTTCTTCTTCCTCATTTTATTTGAGGGTTGCCTTCTCATTAGTTAAGAGAGAAGTATAGAAAGAGAAGTTTTGAGTGAGAGAAAAAGAGAGAGATAAGGTTAAGTGTAAATGCCTTATTTTAATTTGGATTCTTTTTATTTTTTGTTTATATATTTAATTTTTATATTTTATTTTATTTGGTTTTTATGTAATTCACTATAAACTTTTTTTAAAACGTTCAGTTCGATAAATATTTTAAAAAGAAAATATATATGAGATTCTATTCTTTTGTTCTTACTCTGTTAGTATCTCGTCAAAAAGGTGTGTGGTAGAAAATGAGAAATCATAACAATAGTTGTGAGAAGAGAAATGAATTCTGTTAATGTTTTCTTCTGCAGTTATCAATATATGAAACTTGATTTCGAATAACTGAATTTTTAATTGTAATAATGCATTTTCATTTCAGTTAAGCTCTAATGCAAATTTAATTTGAGCCTGCAATGTGCATCTGCATTCACCCACATTTGATCGCATTTTCTTTTCTTCTCTAATGTTAGATTCATTTCTTCTATTTTACATGAATTCTTTTGATTTAATTAAAAGCAAACTTCTTTCCACTTTCTCTGATTAAAATCTATTTCATTCTGTGCATTTAAAAAAAAACGTCTATATTATTCTAGGTATAACCAATTAACAAATAAGGCAACTCATATAACAGGAAATCTCACAATTACTGTGTCTTGAATTCACCTTGATGTATTTCAGTAACAAAGAACAGAATGCAAAATACTTACCTGCAAGCAAGCAAAGCTCTCTGAAATATTTTGAGCTCTGAAAATTATATTAGGTCATTCAGAAAATAATGTCCAATTTTGGAATCAACTATTATTTCTGAAATAATGTATTTAAATAGTGTTTAAATCAGCCAAAATAGGAACCTTGAACATGTATTTTACAGTATACAACAGTCAAAACATCATGAATATGGCAATAAAGATGACAACAGTTTGAATGATGTAAATAATATAACTAGTTATTTCAGTGATTTCTTATTTATTAACTTGTTTTTGGAGCGCGCAGTAGCAACGCTGAGTTTGATTGTTCAATAATTACAGTAATTAAAGATGTCTGTAGGAAAAGACGAAAGCTTGTAGTAAAAATAAGAACTAATACGGCAGAAATTTATAGAAACAAGGATCATTTCATTCATAACGGATTCGGAGGGTTTTGTATATTATTTGAATTGTTTGCGATGATGGATTTCTCGCCAATTAAATCATTAACCTTTGCATTTGTTTTTGTGTGAATAATTCATGAATTTGTAAATTGATTGCACGTTTATCGTAATATATATATATATATATATATATATATATATATATATATATATATATTAATACACAGAGCGCGATGGATAAATTGTTGTCCACATATATAACACCTGAAGAAGGCCAGAGCATACAAAACATCATGAATATAGCAATAAAGATGAGTACAACAGTTTGAATGATGTAAATAAAGTAACTAGTTATTTCAGTGATTTCTTATTTCTTAACTTCAAGTGCCTTTG